TTCGAAATTTCACCAGCACCGAGTTACGCAATGCCATTCTAGAGGTGTTGAACAATCCCACGTATACCGAAAAAGCGCGAGAGATCTCTGCTAGTTTCCATGATCGACCTATGAAACCGCTCGATGCAGCAATCTTTTGGACTGAGTATGTGTTGAGGCACAAGGGTGCGCCACAAATGCGTGTAGCCGCACGTCACTTGAATTTCTTACAGCGCCATAGTGTAGATACTATGGCTGTGTTGTTCGGAATACCATTGTTGTTGGCTATATTCATAACTCATCGTATATATAAATTTTTATTGGTAATATTCCTAAGTAAAGATCATGTGAACATTAAACGAAAGAACGAGTAAACAGCTGAGTTGCATTATATGGTGTTGAGCAATCGTTTTAGAATAGTTTTTCTTGTATTTTAATAACAGATAAGGGCTAATAACTATGAATTGCTGGTAGCATTCATAGAGCAAATTTAGTTAATGTACATATATACATAGATAATGTTCAGTAATATACTATACATTTTGAAATACACTTTCAATACCATGTACATAAATAAATAAATAATTATAATTAATATACTTAAAGTGCTGTGGTTTTGATTAATTATACATTCTATATTACGACCACTTCGACGGTATAAAAATTGCATTACTTATATTAAAAAGAGTAGTCCCTCACTCGTTTCACTCACTCAAATCTTAATTTGACTGCTGCCTAATCGCCGAGGCGTCTTGAATGAGATTGTTTGAAAAATGAATTGAAGATTGCTTTCATTTTGCTGTCCATTACTCTTTTTACGACAGTCGCTAGATGTTAATATGGAAATTTTATCTCTCGAATCTCCAAAGAGTCGTTTCATCGATTACTAACAATGTCTGGGCTTCTATACATTAAATTTTAAGGCTTCAATTATGCTTTACAAATTTGTTGAGCACATCTCATCCAAACGAAACGACTGCCTTGGGCAATAGCAAATGTAAATTTCTCGAAGATATCTCGACAAATAAAAAAACTTTCCATACAAGCACTTGATTTCGATCGTTAAGTATGGTAGCTATATGTTTAGTGAATCGATAACGGCGATTTCGACAAATGAGCAGCTTCTTGGGCAGAAAAGTGTATATAGACAGACGAACATGGGTAAATCGACTCAGCACGTCACGCTGATCATTTATATAATATATACATTTCTTAGGGGGTTCTTCGTGGCAAACTTAATAACCCGTTTAAAGCTATAATAGCAGAGACCTGCAATCTAAATGGCTATATTTTAATCAGGCTCGGCATCGTAAATTAATTTCTGAATAAGTCGCTTGGAAACAGCTCTTATTAGAGTGTCGGCGAAATACCGAAATAGTTTCTAAGCCTTACACTATCACATTATTATGTTCTTGTTGACTATGAAATATGCTGCAAAATCTTGCAAAAATGTTAAAATTATGATAACCTGAGTGCTGATAACATTTAAATCGTATAAAAGCATTAGAGACAATATCTACACAGCTGTTAATTATGTATAAGACAGATAAGTAAATATATAATCGTATAATAGTCTAATCTAACTAAGTCGCGCAAAATGTAGTAATTTTAAGATATACCTATGTATATATTTTTGTAATTTTCATAGCTGTGGTATTATTTCCATAGTCATACGTTGTACAAGGTGCGTTCCAAAGTAAACAATGAAAAAGTGCGTTAAAATCTGCTATCCTTTATCGACTTCCAGTAAAAATTTCATGACGTTTCATCTATTGGAAGTGAAGTTATTGCGTTTTAAGTGTCAGTATGTTTTTGTCATCGGTGCGAAAATGAGCTTCGAACAAAGAGCCAACATTAAATTTTGTTTTAAAATTGGTAAAAATTTTATCAAAACGTTTCAATTGATGAAACAAGTTTATGGCGATGACTGTCTATCCCGTAGCAGAGTGCACGAGTGGTTTCAACGTTTTCAAAGTGTTCGTGAGGACATAAATGACGATGAACATGTGTGCCAAAAATCGCGCCTGGAGAAGTCAAAAGTGAAGACAATGCTGATTTGTTTTTATGATCCCAAGGGTATTGTCCACAAAGAATTTGTTCCACCCGACCAAAACGTTAATGCAGAAGTTGGCGTTTGTTGCACGATAATGCGCCATCTCATCGATCGACGCTTGGGGCCGAATATTTGACCAAAAATCACATTTTAACAATTAACCACTCCCCGTATTCACCTGATAGGGCACCGTGCGATATATACCTTTTCGGAAAAATGCATTTGCCGATGAAAGGAAAACGTTATGCAGACGTGGATGCCATTCAAAAGGCTTGCACCGGCATACTGGCGGCTATACCGGGCACTCGTTCGACATGCTTTTGGACCATGCAAAAAGCTGTATTGTGTATAAAGCAGAAGGAGACTATTTTGAATAAAATTAATTGATTTTGCTAATAAAACCATTATTTTTTTTTTAAGTCCTTTTTACTTTGGAACGCTCCTTGTAATTCCTCAAAATCTGTATGATAGTAGCACTTCTTTATTGTAAAAAAAACTGCTATTTACTTAGAGGTAGCTATATAAAGTGGATGGTGTCTCATTCACGATTAAAATTCGCACTTCTGTTATATGCACCTGTTTGACTCACCGCTCGATTTTTAAACACCAAGTACAATAGATATTAGGTGTATACATATAAACTAGGAAAATAAATTAAAAAATCTCCGAAGGCTCCTTCAAAAGCTTAGTTTTGTATAAGAATTATAGTGGCGGTTATAGAGATTTATTAATATACTTGTACTTTCATGTTAGTGTGGCTCATAGGCTTGTTCAGACTACTAGAGAGAGAGAGAGCTTTCTGCTCTCTTAATAAGTAGGTATAAAAGTCAAGCTTCTCACAAATTGTTAGTTTAGTTGAATTTAAAGCATTGTAGTGCATAGATATGCATATTTGTGAAATAATTTTGAAAATGTTTGCACTGAAACCCATAGTGGTTGCTTTGTGGATGTTAGCGTGTGCCACAAATTATGTGGAATCCGCAAAAATACTCGCTGTATTTCCTTTCTCGGGTCCCTCCCAATATATATGTGTGCAATCGTATTTGCAGACACTGGCGGTGCGTGGACATGAAATCACTTCGGTTTCGGCGTTTCCGCAAAAAACACTTTTAAAAAACTTTCGTGATATAACAATACATATAGAGCAATCTCACCATGATGGTTAGTGTAAACTTTGACGATAAATAAAGCAAAAGTTTCAATTCAAATAATTTTAGAGGCAGTAATCAGCGCGATAGAGGAAATGTCTGGTGGCAAATTGGACCTGCTGCAATCTGTTAGGGACTATACAACAATGACTTCCTTGTTGGTATGGGAAACTGAGGAGTTCCAACAATTATTGCGCTCTGACGAACAATTCGATCTCATCATTATCGAAGTGTTCTATCAGGAGGCACTTTACGCCTTAGGTCAACACTTCAAAGCGCCTATGATTGGTGTCTCCACATTTGGCGCAGATATTATTATCGACCAGTTGGTGGACAATGTTTCGCCGGTAGCATATGTACCAACGCCTACCGGCATAAACTTGGATCGTATGAATTTCTGGGAACGCTTAGATAATTTATATTCCAACACTATGGAGCTTCTCTATACTCATTTAGTTTTAATACCGGAACAACAGCGGTACTATGAAAAGTATTTTCCTAATGCGACATTGCGCTTAACAGACGTGCGTAGAGACTTTTCACTTTTGCTGCTCAATCAACATTACTCATTCAGTTGGCCGCGTCCATTGGTGCCGAATGCAATCGAAGTAGCTGGTATGCATATTGATCACAAACCGAAGAAAATACCAACGGATATGGAAGATTTTATCAATGCTTCGTCTAGAGGGGCTATTTACTTCTCATTAGGGTCGAACGTAAAAAGCGCATTTTTGCCGAAACATAAATTGCAAGAGCTAATGAACGCATTTGCCTCCTTACCAGTGAACGTGTTGTGGAAATTTGAGAAGACGGATCTAGCTGGTAAACCAAAGAATGTCTTCATCAATAAATGGTTTCCACAATCGGACATACTTGCTCATCCTAAAGTGAAACTGTTCGTTACACATGGCGGTATGCACAGTCTGATAGAAGCGGTTCATCATGCTAAACCGGTTGTGGGTACGCCAGTCTTTTACGATCAACA